CTTTAGAAATATCACTTTTATAATTCGAACGTTTATTGTGTGAAAAATAGGTTTCAATCTAAAGTTGAAAATCGAAAACTTAACTTGATTTGTGAAAATATTTTGTCTATATTTCACCGATTTTACCTCTAATTGTATTTAATTGATCATATGGTGATTTCCATTTATTGATGGTTTGGTTGAGTTATAATTTTTTTGATGATTTTAATTACCCGTGAAATTTTCGGATAATAAATTAGCAACGTAGTGAATAAAAATATGACGAATAATGGATGGAGTGTAATTCTTAAAGATGAGTGATCATTGAGAAACATTTTGAAATTCGGTGAGTAAACTATGACATAGTGTAAGTTGGACGAATGATGAAACAATGATTTTGCTGATTTATAATTTTTTAATGGTCGTCCGACGCCACCTACGAATTCCATCCGCCACGTCAGTGCCCAACAAACGGATTTTTTGATAGTGGTGGATGGAAAGGTAAATGGTAAAGTTGAGGAGTACTGTGAAGCAGAATGAAGTTCCGTGAGCCGTCCATGACGATGGTATAAGTTCGGTGATTTTTGAAACAATTCACTCTTTTTTTTGTTGCTAAGTCGATATTAATATTCATTGTTTTTATATATTTATCTCTCTATATTTATTCCGATTAAAATTTTAAAAAATATATCATTTTAATTAACGTCACATTTTAATATTGTCCTTATAAATACATATTTTTTTTAAATAAATAAGAATAAAATCTATTTATCCACTAATATTTATTCTCATTAATCTCCTTTTCGTTAGGGATTAATCTTAATTTTTTTATTGAAATCAAAGTTAAAAAATAATTTTTAACTACATATTTTATATGACTCGTAACTTTTTAACAACACATTTTATTAACTTTTATCAAAATGTACTAAAAATTTAATTTTAATTCTAATCAAATAAAGGTTAAAACACTAATATTCATAAAATATCTTCTTCAACTGAAATACAATCACGCATGATATTCGGAATTATTTTATTAAAAATGTTGGGTTGTTTATGAATTGTTATATCATTTTGTGGATTTAGACAATACAATTTGTACATCAGTTATTCTGAAAACTACTGATTGTCGCTAATACATATGATAGTTTCTTATTTGATATATTAATTTTGTAATTTTTTATTGCCTCATACATCAAATAATAAATTGTGATGTATATGCTACTTCGGATGATTACCGACAGTCTTTATTATAAATAACATTATTCTTTCGGATTAAATGGTTGAAAGACTTGCCCATCGCACCAGCAGTTGATTTTAAAACTTGGGATCTTCATATTTTAATACTTTAGTACTTTTTTAAAAAGATATATAAAAGGAATAAAGCTATAAAAGTGATGTGAATATATGTAATGTTTAAATGAATAAATTTAATAAAAATAGTGTTGGAATGTAATGTCAATGAATATGGTATTTTAAAAAATAAAATTCAATAGAGATAAATTTGAAGTGTGATAGATACATAAAAACTGTGGATGAAAATAGCAGTTTCCAAAATTATTCAACCTACGTGACACTTTAATTGTAATAAAGATCTTCACTTTTCACTCATTTTTGCACTATGTCCTCAATTTTTTATTTATTATTTTTTTTTACAATCAGTTTAGTTTTTGGGTCAAGCACCTCGTCCGGCACGTGGCTCGGGCCACGGGTGTTGACACGTGGCGGGTGAGGTGGCGGGTCTGACACAGGCCCGTAACAAATTTGAAGTGTGATAGATACATAAAAATTGTGGATGAAAATAACAGTTTCCAAAATTATTCAACCTACGTGACACTTTAATTGTAATAAAGATCTTCACTTTTCACTCATTTTTGCACTATGTCCTCAATTTTTTATTTATTATTATTTTTTTTGTAGCATTCTTATTCTTAATTTTAAATCAAACAGCATATTTTGTCTCTGATGATGTTTTCGTCAAAATATTCCGTTAGTCGTCTGCAAACAACCATTTTCGAGTTTCGAGAGTTTTCGATTGAGTTCTCAAACTTTTCAGGTGTTGGAATTAGTTTTTTAAACTTGTAAATTTCATATGATTGCTCTCTTGATAATTCGTGTTGATCACGTGCAATTGGATTGATCTTCAATTGCTCCGAAAAAACGAAACACGTATTACAATTAATTGGAAAATTTGATGAAATTGATTTTTTATTTTTTAATCAATGTTAGAAAGAGTCCAGTTAACCAGTTATATATTCCATAATTTATGTCGAATATATGCCTCCTTAAAAAAACAAAAAAATAAAAATTATAAGAGTTACACACTACTTGCATAAGAAATGTGCTCATCGTTTTGGTTATTTAACACGAACGTGTCTACTGTCTAGCATATTATACTGATATGACGTCAATTTTTTAAAAAGTCGGAGGGAAAATATTTGAAGAAAAACATTATGGTTCGCTTTTCTATAATGAAATTATAGTATCATTCACGAAGTGATGGTACAAGCAAATAAAACTCCCCAATTTATTTAGGATCCTCCTTGTACCACCTATGCGTTTTGTCTGTCTTCTGAACTCATGAATTATATGCCCACTTCCTTTCCCCTTCAAGCAACAACAGAGGCTGCAGATGGTCTGGGATAAGAAGCAGCCTTCCGACTCGAATCTTTGGCGCACGATCGACGATGTTTTTGGACAGCCTCGGTTTTGACACTCCCCGTGTCCTGGAGTTGCTCCAATGCTTTTACAACCTCTTCCATGTTCGGCCTGTATTTGGGTTCTATTGCTACGCATTTGACGGCGAGAGTAGCTGCTTTCAATGCTCCGGTTGGCGAGTATTGGCCTTCTATACGGGCATCCATGACTCGGAATATTCTCCTTTTGCTAGCCAGATAAGGCCGAGCCCATTCGATAAGATTTTGTTCCCCGTGAGGGCGGTTTTTGTCTATTACACGACGCCCAGTCAGCATCTCGAGGAGAACAACCCCAAAACTAAATACATCGCTTCTGGCGGTTAAATGGCCTTCAAAAACAAATGAACAGAGGATAAGAAGGAATTAACAAAATAATTTACGAGAACTTATAACATATATTAACTTGTATCGTTGTTCCATCATTTCAACTGTAATTACACTTCATATGACGACATTTTTTATCGATTCTAATCTTTTGCAGCACACGACCGTGGATACTCGACAAAATTCAATCAATGTGCACCTAAAATGATTGGAAAGAGTATTTACAGAAGGAAAATTAGTGAAGAATGTAATACCTGTGGCCATATACTCGGGAGCTGCATAGCCAAAGGTACCCATTACTCTTGTAGATACATAGCTTTTACCATCCATTGGTCCATCCTTGGCCAACCCGAAATCAGAAAGCTTGGCATTGTAGTTCTGTCAAACCCATCGGTTAAAGTTTGTAAGACACCCACATAGAAACCGTTATGAAATCAAATGGTATAAATCTTCCACAATTGATTTCTTATTGTTCCACATACCGCATCGAGCAAGATATTGGAGGATTTGAAATCACGATATATAACCTTAGCTTCCGGGCTGTGAAGATACGCAAGCCCCTTCGCTGCACCTAGAGCAACCTTCATACGCAGGTTCCAAGACAACGGTTGGAAGTAAGATGCCCCTGTTCAAAATACACTTACGAGGCTAAGTCAATCTGAAAAATTGAAGTTCCTCAGGGTAAAAGTGATGAACACCATAGATAACATCAATAACTCACTCCTGAATAGATGATTCTCCAAGCTGCCACAAGGCATGAACTCGTAAACAAGAAGCCTGTGTTCGTCCTCTAAACAATAACCAATCAACTTTACTAGATTACGATGGTATAACTGCCCCAGATAATTGATTTCTGTCTGAATTCAAATAAAAGATAAAGGAATCAGCATATTCGGATTTTGGTTTGAATTCCATCAAATTTGAGCATCTTTGACAGAATAAATTATCAAGAACCGGACCATAGTCGATAGATTCGACAAACAGGATTAACAACAACAAAAAACTAAGAGCATGTGTTTTTGTGCTTAAAAGTAAGCCAAGCTTACTTTTAAGTAAGATAAACAAGTAACTTTTAAGCACGGCTAAACCTGCATGCTGAGCCTCATTCCCAAGGAATTTAGGACCAGCTACATGAATCCTTTTTCTCGTTTTGTTCAGTTCATCTACTACGAACTCTCCAAATCAATGAACAAATTCAATATGTTAAAAATTTTAACCACTTGAACCGGGAAAGGTCAGACTCACCAACCACTCCTTGTGACCTTGAAGACCTTCTTGGTTCAATCTTTTGACAGCAATTACCATTCCAGTCCCAGGTTTCGCAGCTTTAAACGTGTGTTCATCGATCCATCCCTTAAAAACGCACCCAAAACCACCTTCCCCTAATACACTATCTGGACGGAAGTTCCGGGTGGCTGTTCTCAGATCAATAAACTCAAAACTCTTCAAATTCGATGATTCCAAAATTTCACCCTCACTTCGAGGGGTCAATGGAATTGCAATCGATGAACTGCTACTTGTGTCTTTCACATCATTGCTGACATATCTTGAATTTGATCCTGCAAATACATTCATTTCACATATCCCAAATCCATCAAATGCCTAACAATGGTGATTCAAAAAGGCAAATTACAAATTATGATTTGTCTATTAACTCCACCTATGTTTTACATAGTCAGTTTTAGCCAAGTAAAGGAGAAGGGTTAAGCTAAAATTTTGCTCTTGACAAATTTATAACATAAATCATAATACACTACAAATTTATCATTACTGAGTTGTCCATTAGATCCTAAACAAAAAGCACATAATCCAAATATCATCTGTAGTTATTGATTTCATAAGCTAACACAAATCATAAACCAAATCAAAAAAGCTACAACCTTCAAAAAAAAAAAAAAAACCTCAACATTTGGGTATGAATACTTCTAATTCAAGAAAAACTAGAATCTGATCAAAGAAATTGAACAATCTGATTATACTAACCATTATAACGTGGGCTGTCTGCCCTTATTCTAACACTGCAACAAGAACCCATTGATTGAACCCACACCAAAGTGTTTATCTAAGCAAAACCCTTCTGTTGTCTTCAACAATGGAAGAAGACTGAGAATTCAATTGCCCAACTCACAAAATCTTTTGATGACTATTGATACACAAGACTCCAAAATTCAACTACTGCCAAACAAGTTGAAAAGTGTGAAAACATAATTATAAACTTATAATAATAAGTTGAATCTTGGTGTCCCTTGTTGGCTTCACGAGAAGCAATATTTTCAAACCTCAATAAAATAAAAAAAGGCCCAAAAGGTTTGACTTTTTCTTGTTTGCTCCTCTTATTAGTCACTCCAATACATCTGCAACTTGTTTACATACACATGCATAAATCATATTGTGGGATTTGTGGGGTAATGTGGGTGTAGTTAATGGAGGGAGGAGAGGACCATGACAGCCCTAGCTTATCCATCTTTTTCTTTTTTATCACCCTTTAGCACCTTCCACAAGAAGACAAATTTGCAACGGTGGGAGTTCCGGCCATTGGATCAGTATGAACACTAGTCAACGGAACTAGAAGCTGTAGGTTTGAATTCTGATTAATTTATTAGATATAAATTATCGAGTTAATAACATAATTAAACATTTATGTTGGCTAAATGATTATTTGAATGTCGGCTGTTTGAGTTAGATGCTGATAATTAATTGTTATTATATATTGATTAGAATTAAGCTTTAAGTCGTTGGTATTAATGACGGTGACACATCTTTTACTCCATGTTTACAAATTACAGCCAAGCAACGCTTGTTTCAAGAAATATGTGCCAAGTTTTGGCATAGTATATAGTTAAAAAAAATAGAAAAAACGTGTAAATTTACTGTTCCCAATTTGTATAAATGTGTGGTTGAAAATAAATATATAAAATAAAAAATTTGAAATAATAATTGTTAAAAAGGACTAATAGGTAAGTTGTCTATTGAAATAGTACTTCAAATTTTAACAAGCCAGGTCCAAACTAATTTCAAAATCATTATTTGAGTAAAATAGACTTTTAAATAATAAAAAATTTGGGTTAATTTTACAAACAGTCACTGAAGTTACCTGAAAATCACAAAACGGTCACTGAAGTTTAAAACTTACAGAAACGGTTACTGAAGTTTAAATTTCTTTCTTAAACGGTCACTGAATTTTCAGATTTTTTGGACAAGTTTGCAGCGATTTTTCGACAACTTCCGACTACCAAGACCGTCGGATTTGGATACCGTTGGAAAGCCCACAATGTCCTCTTCAATTACTACCAAAAATCTCCCCTAAATCCAAGGGATTCGGCCGGCATATACACACGAAGTCGGCTACCGAAAAATCTGAAAATCTGCCCAAATTTTCAGATTTTTTGGGCGAGTTTGCAGCAATTTTTCGACAACTTTCGACCACCAATACCATTGGTTTCGGATACCGTTGGAAAGCCTACAATGTCATCTTCAATTACCACGAAAATCTCCCCATAAATCTAACAGATTCGGCCGGAATAAACCCACAAAGTTAGCTACCAAAAAAATCTGAAAATCTGCCCAGTTTAGGTAGTTAACTTCATTTATTTGCTTCTATAACTTGAAAATTGTGATATAATTATTTGTTGTTCAAACCCTTTTTGGACTGAAATGTGAATGAATTATTGATGAAAACTGGCAGGCAAAATTGCGTAGTTTCTGCTTAACCATGCATACACATATGCTAAATGGCCATGCGTACGTACAGTCTTGTCTGCAGGAAATTGAAGTGTTTTTACTTTCAAAAATTTAACCGTTGGGCCGATTTTTTGTTTAAATTTCTAATGTCTTTTGGTGAAAAGTTTTCAATTTTTCACGAGAGTTTGGAGCCTTTCGTGGTATAATTTTAGAAATCTATAAATAGGTAATATATTTTTAATTCCAAACATAAAAAAACAATATAAGATTTCATCATTCATTTCTAGACTTGATTTTTCCTCATTCTAATACATATTCAAACATTCTTCAAGTTTTCAACAAGTTTTAACTATGAAGAATCATCGTGCTTTTATGTTTCTTCAATGAAGACTTGTAAATCCTCTAAACTATTTGTCGGAAATCCTAAAAACATATTAAATGAGGCAAACATCGTTTTTAGGACAACATATCATATACGTGTTCGAGCCTAATTCATCATTTTTATATTGTTCAAGTTTCATCTCCTCCTTCTCCTCCTCAATATTTCCAACAAAAATAAGTGCACTTTTTTTTTTCGTTTTTTCTTTTTTTTTTCAGCTTGCACTAACTCGAAATTGTGCATTCGTATCACTAACTAGTGTGAGACAAATATTGGTGGCGATCACTTCAACAAGAAATGGGTATTGAGATACCAAGTGATTACTTCCACTTCATTAAATATATCATTATATTTTTTTTTGGGTATGTAAATGTTATACATAGCTGAGAATTAATCCTTGTTTGATAAAGATTAAAATCAGATTTTAAGTAAATTTCGACAAAAGTTGATGAAATGTGTGTTTAAAAAATTGCGAGTCCCATGAAATATGTGGCTAAAATTAATTATTAAATTTGACTTAAAATTTTAATTCAAACCAAATAAAGGCCTAGTGTTGTTTTCTTCTTTAATCATGTTCACTAGCTTCCGATCAATTCAACATAGTTAAGATGCATTATTGTATATTTAGCCCCTGTTTGGTTCTTATTATTTTGATACTCATTATTCCTCAAACTCATTTTCAACCACACATTTTTAAAATAAATATTTTTCATGTAAACCCAAAAAAATAAGACCACATATCCTCTAATAATTCACAATTATAAAAATAATATCCATCGTGGCCTTAATATACAACATTGAATAGGAAGTAGCAATTAAAGGAGTAGAAACTTGCGAGATATTTGTCTGTTTTCATATTGAGCACTGTCTATTTCAACGTATCAAACAATCAACATGACATATTTGGTATAATGAACTCGACAGCAAGTAGTCTTCCACCCTGTACCCTTAGAGGCATAATCTGCGATTTACCTCCTTCACCAAGGCTCGGGATAGGGCAGGTGGGGGCCGTTAAGGATGCGGTTCATCCTTCTTATAATGAACTCGACAGAATTTAAAGAGAGAGAGAGAGAGAGAGAAAGTTGTAAAAATCCAGTTCAATCGAACATAGATTTAGAAGCATTTAATGGAATTCAATTTTAATTAACTAAAGCGGCGAAAGGTAACAAAGCGTGCCTATTGAGAGTTAATATAAGTGGGGTACCTAGTACTATTTAGATGTGGGAAAGTAGGTGGGGTATTGCTAAAATAAATGAAGGAAAAGTGAAAAACCAGACAAGGATTGCTCGTGAAAAATATCAAAACTCCCCTATCTCTATCTGCTTTGGTAATAATTTGACCGTTTTTGCTGAATAATATTCGTTTTTGACCTCATACTAGAAATTTCAAAAGTCAACACACTCTTGAGGGGGGAAGAATGTGGGCTCTCACATGAGGATTTAATTAATAATCTAGTTCAATGAATCACAATACACGCCGCCTTTGTTTGAGCCTCATTTTTTTTCAACAAAATGTATTTTTTAACTGTAATTTGATTTCAATACAATCACATTTTTTAATAAAATAATATCACACGTAATTTCAAAAAAATTCTTATTTTTTAACGACGCATTTTCTCATCATCACACTATTACAAAATGCATTATTATTATTTTTTATTTAGTAAAAAATGGGGCTCTAATAAGCCTAATGGGAAAAAAAAAATTCTAATAAAAATATGTGTCCCTATTTGAGATTTATTTTAATTTAATTTATATTTTTTTCCTTTTTAACTCCATATTCTTTAGTAAAATATTATTACACGTAAATCTAAAACTTTTTTTTACTTTTTAATGTCAAATTCTCATTAAAAAAAAAAATTATTATTCCAAAATAATTTTTTTTCCAAAACCTCATTTTAGCCCGAACAAGGTTGAGGATGGAACTATGTAGACAAGAAATTGGAAAATAGATCTATAACCCAACGAAAAAATTTATTTGATTTGTTTGTGTAATGTTCGAATTGCTCTTGGCTTTAGAGTTATATAGACACGGATGTTCCTATTCCGAACCCATCCATGGATTACTTGAGATAACATTGCCACAAGCGGGCTAGGGATGGACCAAGAATATCAAAAGAAGATAATTTAATTATTTGCAGTAGTTTACTATTGCAGTCGCCTTATGTGACGTACACATAACATTTGATTATTTGATATTTTGTGTATATCACATAGGAAGACTGCGAATAACATTATTCTTCAATGAGCCGCCATTTATAGGAATTTGCTTTCTTCCGATTTAACGTGCCTTTTCTTAGATCCGAATTTTGGACCAGTCACACTTTTCTAGAAGCATACCCCCCTGATTTAAGACATCGAGAGTGAAAGTTTTAGAACGACGAGTCAACTATCATTTACCATCAACCACATCACACAAATTGGCATGTGATTGAAGACTTTCTTGCTCCAATTGGCCCACTTGGCTTAAAGCCCTTGTTTGATCTTCATTATTTTCAAAAATATATTTTACTCTTCTCTTTTCAACCATACATTTTTCAATAAAATAATATTATATGCAAACCCAAAACTTATCCATATTTTTAATCACATATTCTCGATTAATTTACTATTTCAAAATGCATCCTTAGCAAAAAATGGAGGCTTGAACAGACACTAAAACAGGAAAATCAAAAGATTATTTCACGTCAGGCAAGACTGCCATGTTTTGGTGTTTATTCTCTTTTGGGACATCAAATATCAATGCATGCAAATCTTTCTATCTTACAGTTTCAAACACATTGGTACTACGTAGAGGAAAACTCCAGGCGGAAATTTAGGGTACCTTCACCAAGAAAATAGTCACAATTTACGTGTCGAATATGATTTTGCTTATTAATTTAAACAAAGGAGACTTCAGTGTGCAGCAAATAGTATAAATGCACAAGTTAATCCAGGTAGAGTCCGGATAATGGTTATTATATCTCACATAGCAAAAGCTTCAAAAATTCACCACCTAAGAGTGATGCTGCACTCAAGCACTTTTCTTCACCTCAGCAGACTTGATAATGTCGATGAATTCGGGCTGCAGAAAGAAGTTAGAAACAGTTAACATCATCTTTTGTTTATAAATTTTCCAATCTCTAACAACAGTCATCCTCTAATCATTAGATAGTTAGCAAGCCGACACGCCAAACCCCAAGAGGAATAGTAGCCATCATTACCTTGAGGGAAGCACCGCCAACTAAAAAGCCATCAACATCAGGATTTGCAGCCAATTCCTTGCAGTTGGCACCACTCACGGAACCTGCGTGCAGTTTATTTAGAGCAAGCTGTAAAATAAGTACAACAAACAGGGAAAAGACACATTTATCATGCAATTTAACCAAGGCCATCGTTCAAAGAGTACAAGGCCTCACAACTGTTCATTCACCTTAAAAATGGGCTATCATGCAATTTAAGACGCAATCAGAGACAGAATGACGGCTTCTATTCATGAAACCCTTCTATAGAACCGAACCATCTTTCAATTTCAAGGCTAAAATTGAAAGGTTCCAAAATCTTCTTGTTTAAATATAAAAACTAATAAAGCTAGCCAGAGACAAAAACAAAACATTACCTCCATAGATGATCCTAGTTGATGCAGCAACTTCAGGGCTAACATTTGCATGAAGCCATTTCCTCAGTTCAGCATGTACCTATGATCAGAAAGGTATCCCTGCTGTTAGACTTGCAGCAAGATGAAGATATAGATACCATTATGTTATTATTAGAAATTGCAACGATGATCGCCAACAGATAAAGCCCCAGTTCGTCTCCCATTTCTTAAAACTCATTTTTCCTCAAACTTATTTTCAACCACACATTTCAAGGGACCCAAAACTTTAATCAACTTTTTAACCACACATTTCATCAACTTCAATCAAAATTTACTTAAAATCTCATTTCTATTCAAACCAAACAGGGGCAAAAATAAATATAGATCCACAGGGATATAATGTAAACCCAAAATATTAATAAGGAAAATCTCAATTTAGATGGATAGATATTTATTAATGGTACAAGCGTAATCCTGGATGTGAAGTGGTCAAGTGATAGACTTCCTATTCATTGTACATATACGAGCAGGGGAACGAAGAAGAATGCTGCTGGTACAGACTACAGTAGGGAACCAAAGGGAAGAGCTGTGAGCTACACCAGTCACTCAGGCTTCAGAAGGTTCTATTGGTGGTTACAAGTAGTTGCAGATGGGGAGTTGGGTATTTCGGTTAAAAGCAGTTGGCTAGTGGGTATTTCAGTAAGGAAACGGTTGGAACTCGAATAAATAAGAGATGGTAGGCTTAGAGAAAGAGGGGAAAATACAGGAGTCTTGTAGGAGAGAACCAGCCTCTCAAAAGTTGTTACCATCTTTGTAATGTCCTTTTCACTTTTGCAGTGATTTGTAATACAATTCTTTCATTTTCATATCAAGTAATAAAGTACCACACAGAGTTTCCTTTTTATTTCCTTCTGTTTCTTTCATTCAATACAAACATAACAGCATATTATACAACAGATACCTATCAGTGACCAGTGTTCACCTAAAAATCAACAGGCATGAAATTCACAATCTATGCCTTTTAGTAGAATTGAGAAATAGATATTTCAAGTTTCGTATATCTAATGTATTGTACTAAAAAAAAAGACGAATGAAGCCCAACTTACTTCCTGAGCCTGAGCGGGAGTTGCAACCTTCCCAGTTCCAATAGCCCAGACGGGCTCATAAGCCAAAACAACATTAGTCCAATCAGAAATCCGTTCTGCAATATATAACAAAATGAAATTTAAGGTAATGACTTTTATGTCATTTTCGAAATGCAAAATAAGTATTGATAGAGTCCATAATGGATACATGACGAATAAGAATTCAAAGCAGCAAAATAACAATGTAAGATATTTTGATACACAGCAATAATTCATAAAAACTAATACAGCAAAATACAAGAGAGCGATTAACAATGGCATCTAATCACCAAGATCTCAATAAATTTTATGAAAAAGAAAACGATGGCAAGATCTGATTTTAGAAAAACAAATTCGCCCTAAAACTTAAATACTGGTAAGTGTAAGGCACAGTTACAACTCATATCCACAAAAAAGGATAGTTAAAAACTTATGTTACTAACCACGAGAAATGGGAAGCGAAAACAAGCAATAGTTATGAAGAGTCGAATTGTGCAAATAACGACTTATGTACCAGCAATAGCCTTTGTTTGTGTAGCAACAACATCCACTGTTGATCCTGCTTCTCTCTGCTCAAGAGTCTCGCCAATACAAGCAATGACCTTTAGACCTTTAGAAAGAGCATATGCAACCTTATCTCCAACGAACTGAAATCAAAATTGCAGTAAGATAATCAATGGATATAGAAATAACTCGGATCCCAGGAATCAATGTGTAGATTTCATATTGAAAAGGAAATACCACTGGACAGTAAGTACCTCGTTTGATTCACCTAGCAAAGCCCTCCTCTCAGAATGACCAAGAATAACCCAAGGAATGCCCAAATTGACGAGCATCTCAGCACTGCACACAGATATGAGCAGTCAACTATAGCTTTATAAAATCCAAATGATTAGACTGAACCACGATCATTGCTGCCTCCTCCAAAATACAAATTTGAAGAACTGATGTGAAGGAAGCTATACAACAAAGGATTGGGTACATTGTAATACCTTGCAGAATGTGGAAAGAAGGCCTCTCAATGTAAACATGAAACAGACACAGTTTACTCAACTTACTTGTACTTTACCAAATGGCAAAACAGTGATTTTGAGAGCCAAATACCATTGCTAAGGTGTGCAACTTTAAAGAGTAGAAACATCAATATAAGAAGATGTACCTAACCTCACCGGTGAAAGCACCCCCTTTCTTTACCCAACAATTTTGGGCTGCGACATGGAATTCAGGTCTCAGTGAACTTTTAACAACCGGAAGAAACACGAATGGAGGGCTGACAACAACCTCTGCAAGAACAAAAAAATTCAAACAATCACATCATATAGTAAGAAAATCTCCTTTGCACGAATCAAGGCTGTTTCTAGGTCATAAAGCACAAGGGGAGAGGGGATTGTTTAATTATTCATTTCTTCAAGTGGAATTCTGAGTTTAAAATTGCATTTTAGAAAGAAAAAAAAATTGAAGCACTGCAATTCTCCAAGTCAAATTCTAGAACCCCAATTTTACATGCACACAAACACAAAAAAGCCAGTCTAATAGTATTTACACCAACATTTCATCCTGAAGTTCAATTGAACAACTAAAAATACAGTCCATTTATGTGACTTCATCTGTTAATTTTATTTTTATTTTAGTAGGAGAAAAGAAAGGAAATCAGTATTCCCAAGTTTTCCTTTCCTTTCTTCCTTACCTTCACTAAAATCCAGAATACAAACGGACGTACATTAAAAATTACAAAAAGATAAAATACACTAACCCACAACATCTGGAGATGGGACTTGACCAGCATTGAGTGTTTCCACGATCTTCTTCACCTCTTCAGTGGTCCCATTCTGCGGTAAAATTTCAACTTCATGGATAAATCGGCTTTCATATTCCAAATATCTATAAATTTGCTTAAATTCGGTGATGTGATAGTGAGAACTTATGAAATTATATTTCAAAATGTCAAAAGAATATTGGATCTATATTATAAAGCAGTGCTAGCACATTCAATTAGGTATAGGAAGCAAAGAAAAAAAACATGGTTCTTCAACTAAATCGTACAAGTTTGCTCGCTATTAAACTAAAAGGAATTACTTTACTGACTGCTCGCATAAACACAAATACATACTTAACCAGGTACAACCGCTAAATCTTTCATAAATTAAACAGATCAGTAGATCGAAGAATGCGATTCTTAATTATTGCGCAGATTGTGAAAGGCAGAAGTGAAGATTAGAGGCTTACACATTTCCAGTTGCCGCCAACGAAGAATTTTCTGCCCATTTTCTCTACGAAGATTACGATTAGAAGAAAATATTTAGTGCTTAGCAATTGATCTTCAGTACGGGTCCGAGATTTATATGGATATTCATTATTTACGGATCACGGCGGATGTGCATTTGAATGGTCCATAATATCCTCATCCATATATAATGACAGAATATTCCACGGGCTCTTCGGGGTTTTTTACGGAATCTTTCTTGTGCACGCTTGGGGTAATTTGGTAAATGGGGCTTGACCTTTAGCCTGGACACTCTTTTTTTTTTTTCCCATTTTCTTTCACAATTTTCTTCTTTCTTCGTTTCAACCATACATTCAATCAATAAAATAATATTACACATAAATTCAAAAATTCTCATTACTTTTTAATCACACAATATTCCATTAATCACTATTCAAGAATTTATTTTTTCTCCAAAATGAGTGTCAAAACAATATTTTTATTTAGGTCTAAAAGCATAGAATGCCCTAAAAACGTTTTGTCTATTATATACCTCCGAGCTATTGAGAATTGCAGAAAATCCTTCCATTTGAAATATTTTGTGCGAAAAACTCTTCTATCGTTAAATTTGCCGTTAAATATAGTAAAAATGTCAAAATTAAAAAGTATTAATTGCAATTTTAGTATCCAAACTTTTTATTCTTTTACAAATTATATCCATTTTTTTTATGTACCACCCACATCCCAAACCTTTGAAATTTTATTTTCCACCTCAACTCACTTCATTTTCTTCCCTAAAAGTTGTTATTTTATTTAATCTATTCCAAAACCCTCCTAAATTCCTCATTTTTCCTTCTCATTTCTAATATTAAAAATATTCTCAATATCCACTCCCCACAAAATCCTGTTTTAAGTTGCAATTCTATGAAAAATATCACGAGTAATTGAATTCCTCCATGGCAACCCTCGAGAATTTCCATCCCCTCGTTATTAGTTCCACATTATTCACTTCCTTTACAAGTTCCATTCAATTGGAGTGTCCACTTTCGTTGTCGAAATAATTTGCAGAACCTTTTTTTCTTGTCATGCCAAGAAATGGCTCGTACACCGTCATGAGGTAGTAGCCATGGCAGCTCTTAAGGCGGATCACAGTGTGTTTTGCCTTCGATGAATTCAACTGTCCACCGTGCCTTGTGTGAAGCATCATTGCATGTTTGTGAGGACCTATCTTAGGAATGAGAAGAAGAATGATGAACTTGGGTGAGAGATTTAGGAGGGTTTTGGTGGAAAATAAAGTTTTAAAAGTTTGGGATCGTGGGTGATGCATAAAAAAATTTGGGTAAAATTTATAAAAAATAAAAAGTTTGGATATTAAAATTGCAATTATTATTTTTTAATTTTGAGTTTTTTTTTTTTTTTTACTGTTATTAACTGTAAATTTGACGATATGAGGGTTTTCGCACAAAATGTTTCAAACAGAGGGGTTTTCTGCGATTTCCAATAGAGAGGAAGATATATCGCAAATGAAAATATTTCTAGGAAGTTTTCTGCTATTAATCTTTTTTTATTTGCGTGGGTTAAATGGACGTCACAAAAAATGTGTGGTGATGAGCAGCTCATTTCCCACTCCACCACTTCCATGCGTCATTTTTCTATTATCTTAAATAGTTTCATTTTAAAGATCATTTTTCACTTTTGAAATGATTTTCATTTTAAAATTTACGAAAAAAATTACTTAATTTTTACTCAATGACAGATTAAAATATCAAGCATCTCGTGTTGAAAACGATTTTTCTATTGAAGTTTTTGAGCCTTACGAAATTTAGATAGAAGTGAGTTAATTAACTGTCCATCGTGAATGGTTTACGCCATCTAGAGACATAGGCTCAAGCATTAGAATGAAGGAATACTTTAATACTTGAGACGTTGATTGGAGTTTCTTGTTGTTTATTCAAATGGTGTCTTGTTAGAATTTACATAGACGATCATGTGTATTTCTTAGACAATTGTTGCGAATGTTGTTAGCTAAGCAACCATGCCTCGCTATAGGCATTTTGTACTTTTAGACTTCGTATTGTCTGGAATAAATTATAATGAAATTGTAATAAAGAAGAGTAATGAATTTTCGAATTTTTATAAATAATTAGTGAATAATAGTTATAAACGTATGATTAAAATTAATATTTGACTCTCATTTCAAATTTTAAAAACATTATTACTTCTCTCAGGTATACACTTCATAAAAAAGTAAGGATGTTTAATTGGACAATCGAAGTCACTCAATTTGGCTCGCCTCAACAAAGTTGAGCACGGTTCACCCCAGAGTCGACTAGTAGGGATGGGCATTGGGTCGGGTCAGGCCGGGTTTGGCCCAAAGTCGACCCGACACACTCGATTTTGGGCTCTTCCACGACCCAATTCGGGGGTCGGGTACAACTTAAAATTTTTTTTTTTCAAGCACTGATTGACTTAAATATTAAATAATACTTTTGCCATTTCACTAAGAATACAACACGATCAAAGCTACTAATTTATTCAAGATGAACAGAAGCTCATCAATGCCAAGAGACGAGAAACAAACTTCGACTGCTAAACAAGAAATGAAGCTAGTTGACAGTATGAAAAGGGGAGATCCCTCTGGAGAAAGTTTGCCGAAAAAGAATTTGTGGGCTTCTCAAAATAAATTCATAGACAGTGAAAAGGAGAATGCAGAGATGAATAAAAATACGAGGAAATTGCAGCTCTAGTCCCAAATCTTTCATTTTGCTGCATAGTACACCCTAACCTTTCATTTTGACAGCCGTAGTCCCAAACCTTTATACTTAGCTGCAGCTGAGGTCCAAAACACGAATTCCTTCCAATCTTCCGTTAGTCAACGGGGAAATTTCAAATTTGACTCAAATAAACAACCTAAATAAGGGACGAAATTGTCTATTTATATTTTTATAATAAAATAATTAAAAAAATAAACTTCATCTTCCCCACCCCCCAATCAAAAACCAGAACTCCTAACCCCTCTCTGCAGCAAAATCATCCTCCAGTTCCAGAATGTTCTCATGCCTCTACTGCACTCTTTAATAGACTCACTCGGGCATTTCATTTCACTGGAAGCTAATTAAGAGATTTACAGAAATATTTCTTCAAACAAAGTAGAGATTTTAGAAAAATGTTTAATCGTAAATTTTCAAATAGAGAGGCACGTGAGAAAGGAAAGAGTTCAGGCAGGCTCACATAGAATTTCAATTTTGAAGGTCTGTCAAAAAGCACGACAGGAGAAGAAACCAAAAAAAGGCACTTCTTTCCATACCCATAAAAGAGAATGTAGAATCAATCAAGAATCCATCCTCAAAATGAATTAATACGGAATTCACAAACAACCTTTTAGTTCCCATTGATTCACCAGAAAACAGACAACTCATTGATTCATGTTTTTCTATATACACACACAAACACTCATTGATCTTCAAGAATTTTTTTTTATATATAATTATATCGATTATCATACATACATTTCAACGTAACAAATTGAATCCCAGAACAAGAATTCAGAAGCTCAAGAGCAAAAAAATGGGTTATAGAAAATAAAAAATGAATAACTTAGGTGAAGAGAGGAGCTTCAGAAACTCCGAAGCCTTGAAGAGAAGAGAGAGAGAGAGAGAGATATTTTTCGTAATGGTTTGTGTGTGTATAAAACACAGATTATATCAAGTAAGCTGTTCATAGAGTGTGTTGAAGCAGGAGGTTTACGCCGCAGATTCAAATTTTTGTGCATCCGCTTATGTGGAGAAGATGAAGTTTATTTATTTTTTAATTATTTTATTATAAAAATGTAAATTAACCATTTTGTCCCTTATTTAGTTTGTTTATTTAGTCAAAATTGAAATTTACCTGTTGACTAACGGAAGATAGGACGGAATTCATGTTTTAGACCTCAGCTGCAGCTAAGTATAAAGGTTTGGGACTATGGCCGTCAAAATGAAAGGTTAGGGAGTACCCTGCAGTAAAATGAAAGGTTTGGGACCGGCACTGCAATTTTCCCATAAAAATACTACTGTGAATCTTGAGAAGTTTAACAGCAGTGAAATTGGAGACTTGGGGAACGCAAATAGTATAGTTGGCAGCAATTGAGAGACAAAGAATGTGGATAGAGCTAAAGATGAAGAAATAAAGGTAAAGTACTAGCAACTCCACCTACCCCCAGGCACCTGTAGTGTGCTTCTTGCATTCTTAAGCCAGTATATTTGCTTTATTTCCATATGCTCGTGAAGAAGATAGAAACCCTGTCAAAAGCCATACAAATAGAGTCTAAGAAAACAAAGAGAGAAGCTGCAATAAGTTTTTTCTTCAGAGTAAAGATGGAAATATGTGGAGAGGGAGGCTAGGTTTTGAAGAGAGGATTTCACGACTTTGGAGACACGATTTCAGGGTTGGGAAATGGAAAATAGGGTTGAGTCGGTTTGCAAAGTTTTAAATCGTGAACCGACCCAACTCAACTCATTTGTAAATAAAATTGACCCGACCCGACCCGACTCGAATATGTTCGGGTCGATTCGGATCCGCGGTTTAGGGTTTATGGGCCCAGCCCTATCAGCTAGTGAACTACAAGTGGTTTGGCTCTCTCTCTCTTTTTTTTTTTAAACAAAGAAAATTGCACTTTTTAACTAAAATGCAATTCACTCGTGCTCGACTCTTAAGCCAACTCATCCAAGCTGATGGATCGACTTGCTCCATTTAGGGCATGTTCGGTTGAGATTAAAATCCAATAAAAATTGAAAATATAACCGTTATTGGGTCTCACTCGTCTAATAAAAGTCAACAATAACAGCTAATTTTTCAATTTTAATCCGATTATAATCTATATTGATTTATAGCATGGGCTAAACTTAAAATCCAATTAGAATTAAAAGAATAATGTTATTTGCAGTCCCACTCGTCTAATAAAAGTCAACAATAACGGCTAATTTTTCAATTTTAATCCGATTTTAATCTATACCGAACACGCCATTAATCCATGTATTAAGAGTTTGTTGGCAGAGTTTTTGTTTTTTTAGAATAACCTTCTCTAAAACCAAATAAATCATTTTCAAAAAATTATTTAAATATATTCAAAAGTAAATTTTTAATCTCAAAAGAAGTTGATTTTAATTTTAAATTAAAGTCAACAATCAATTTTAACCATAAATTCACGAAAAACACAACTTTTCAATCACACCTTTTATTATCTTCTATCAAAATTTATTAAAAATTCGATTTTAATCTATATGAAATAGGGTCAGATTCTTTGTAAAGAATTTAAAAAAAAAAAAAAAAAAATTCAGTTTCCCCTGTCAAGGCGCGCATATATAAAATTTCCCGCCACCTTCATCGAGCAAAGTAGGGTTCGCACTTTACACTCGGAAATTCACGCTTTCGAATCATATTCAATTCTCAAAACCCATACCTTGTGGTTGCTTTTCCGTTTTAATTTACTGCAGCCCATCACCGAGGAAGACGTATTTCAACCCTAAACACTTCTTAAGTCGCAGAAATGGCCGCCTCATCTGACTCCCAGGCCTCCGCATTTTCGGCAGCCGAGGTACCATCTTTTACCCTATTACACATATTCACCTCCTGTTAGTTGATATTTGTCGAGTTAATTGTGTAAATTTATGTTTGTTCAGTTGTATATTTGATTTATTAATTTAGAATTTCTTGTGAAATTTCAATGTTGCAGTTGGAGTTTCTTGCAGAGGATGAAATGATTGAGATTGTACCAAATATGAGGATGGATTCACTCAATTTCGTCTCTGTACGATTTCCATTTTGAGTTTTTTTTTTTTCAACATATGGACTGTTATATACTTATATTAGAGCAGATAAATTTTTTATTTTACCTTCTTTTTTTGGTTAATT